CTCCCTCCTGTCAACACTTGACTTTCTTTTATTCTCTCTTTATTTACTATTTACTCCATTTTGTATTTGTCACTGATTGTCTTATGTAATACTTCTGTGTTATTTTATTGTATATATGTTATACTGGAAGCCGCCCAGAGTGATCGTATAGACCAGATGGGTGGGATATAAATCAAATAAATAATAAAATAATAATTAAAAAAGCTACCAACATGAATTTGACCTTACTCCGGGAGGCAGTGGAAGACAGGAGGGCCTGGTGTACTCTGGTCCATGATTCCTAAAGAGGCCCCGACAGTCATCCCAGAACTACTGAAGTACCATCCAGAATGGTGGGCTCCTCCTCTAGCTGCCCTATTTACCACGATAAACAGCACTGGAATAGTGCCCAAGACATGGACCAATGCCATTGCTGTTCCTATCTATAAAAAGGGCAATCCTTCATTTCCTGAGAACTATCGGCCGATTAGCCTTTTATCGGTTGTCGGCAAGCTTTATGCTAAATTTCTCTTAGCGAAATTGGAAGGCTGGCTGACAGCGTCCAACATAAGAGGCCCAGAACAAATAGGGTTTTGCCGTGGCAAGACCACCCTCGACCACTGTGTCATATTATCACATTTAGTCTCTAAATACAGTGGGAAATCTGGAAACAAACTCTTCACTGCCTTTTTAGATCTCAAGGCGGCATTTGATTCAGTCTCAGAGAGTTGCTTTGGGTTAAACTGGCCAAGATTAACATGGACCCCAGACTGCTCTCCTTGATTAAAAACCTGTACACACGCACCAGCTGCCAAGTACAATCTCCAGGGGAATTTAACTCCGGAAATTCCAATTTGTAAGGGTGTGAAACAGGGCTAATTCCAATCTGTAAGGGTGTGAAACAGGGCTGTATCCTTACCCCCAACACTTTAAAACCTATTCTTAAATGATTTAGCCCCAGTTTTACATGCACTAAACGGACATGCCCCTAAACTCGCCCACCGCCACATTCCCACGTTCTACTGACGTGTTCCCAAATTAGAGTGTTTTGTTTATTATGACAAGCTACGACTTATCTCAATGCCAATGAGTTAACCCTGAACTACGGGAAAACAAAGATCTTAGTTTTCTCTAAATCTTGGAAACAATCATCATGGTCAGGGAAACTCACTATATTATATCAGTGGCAAGAACTAGTGCCTTGGCCATTGCCCTTTTTATTTTATTTGAAAGGGAACTGATATGTCCCTATGGCCCAAAGAGCTTTTAACACTAAATCTAGCCCCCTTATACAGTTGAAAGGGAACTGATATGTCCCTATGGCCCAAAGAGCTTTTAACATGAAATCTAGCCCCCAGCTCTTATACAGTGCCCCTATATGGATCAACACCTTCGATCACACCACCAAAGGTTTACAATCCCTTTTCTTGAAGAAAATACTTGGATTACCCAACTGTGTCACCTATGCTGCAATATGCATGAGAACCGGATCATTACTGCTAGGAACCTGTGCCTGGTTCTCAACCTTTAAGTTTTGGCTTCGCCTTTTATTTAACTCTGACCAGAACTCCCTCAACTTTTCGATGCTAATGGATCATCATGCATCCAAATGGTTGACTGTGATCCAGAAGAAAATCATATCCCTATGGATTTCTCTGGATGCATTCTATCTGTCCTCTGCCTTTGTAATATTTCAATCAATTAAATGCAGATTGGTAGATATCCAATTGCAACATCCGACCCAGGCAGCTTGGAAAACCTGTTCTCCTAGTCACCTGGGTCTATCCCAGAATTCTCGGCTTCTAGCTTCCTACTTCTTTTACATAACTGATCCTCACCAAAGAAGAGCATTCATGCCAGATTTAATGCACTACCGTCGGCCATTCTATTTGGAAGATTCCGCAGAACCCCACACAATCTTAGACGATGCCCTTGCAGCCAAAGAGCCATCAAAACAGTCCCTCATGTTCTTCTGGACTGTCCTTTCTATAGCAGCTCCCGAGTAAGATTTCTTGATCCATTACTCTCTGACTCTTAAGATCTTTCTGATAAGGCCAAGGTTTGCTTTCTAGTCCATGGGGAAAACAATTATGTCCCTACTCATGTTGCTTGCTTTTTACAATCTGCAATTCAAATTAAAGAGACTATCTCCCAGGTATAGACCCTGTTTGTTTTAATTCCCCCCCCCCTCCAATTTTAATCTGGTTTTAAAGGACTTATTATAACTTACAATTTTATTTCTGGGCTAAAGTATACTGTACTTTTTTAGTGCCAATAAAGGTCTGTATGTACGTATGTGAGTCAGACACGACTTAAGAACTAAACAACAAAATCAAATTCCTATCTTTAACAAACAAGACAGCTATATTATATTACATATATTGACAGCAGCTAGAATAATATGGGCTCAATAGTGGAAAAATGAGACATCTCGTTAGAATAATTGTACAAAAATCTAATATTGTGCAGAGATGGATAGACTGACAATTAAAGGGATTCAGAATATTATCAAAACTGGAATAAAATGTATGAATGGCTAGAGCAAACAAATAAGGTATAGCCGCCCCGAGTAGACACTGTCTAGAGGGGTGGGGTAGAAATCTAATAAATAAAATAGAGACAAATGATACATGATATGAACAATTTGATGTATACCCAGTGAACATGATGAATGACAATGGAAATATTTTAATGTGTTATAAAATAAATCTTTTAAAATAAAAACAATGTGGGAATGTGTTCACTGACTGGCACTTCTGATGCTGTCTGAGTATTGTCTTCTTGACATATTTCACCTGTAACTGTGCCAAACTTTTAGAAATCACTGGCTCTGCATTTGAAGTAAATGATTATCTTTAAATATGTGTCTCCTTGGTCTCTCTTCAGCTAATCACATGGGAAAGTTGATTCCAGTACAATGGGGGATAAAGAACAACTACATGACTATAGTAAAATTGTGCTCTAAGTTTATGTTAGGGACTATGATTGTTTTGCTGTGTTGGTTATCCAAAAAATGCCCAAGCTCCTTGTGCTACGTTTGTATTTTTGAAGACTGCACCCAAGGACATCTCTCATGTAATTCCATTGTCTTTTTGATTGGCTCCTGCACTGCAGGGTTCCCAAGCTAAGGAGGGGAGAGAAAGCCCCTTGTTTGCTTTCTTCTCTTGCAAGTTGTAGTTTCTTGACCCAAAGAAATGGGTCAACAGAATTTCTCCCACCTATTCTTAGATGGGCAAAGGGAGATGGTTGCAGTTACTTATTCGAAGTAATATGTCAGTAAGCTCTCCTGTCTGGTTGTCATAGAGGCTGGCTAAATAATAAACTTTTTATCTGTTTCTCTCAAGAAAGTTAAATGCTGTATAGATGGAATACTACACATTCATTCTTTTTATGCTCTTTGTACAATGCCCATTTATATCTCTAAGACCATTTCCCGTAAAAACTTCAGAAATTCATGTGGGATTTCTCACGGTTTTTTAAAAAATGAGAATGTGACTCATTTAATGAAGATGAATCTAGCTTTTCTGTTCTCACTTTATACCAACTACTAATGCTGTTCCCTTCAGATGAATTAGGTATCTTGGGTTCTTTTGGAAGTTTCTTGTATGCTCTCCCTTTTCAAGTAAATGACATTAGAATCTGCCTAAGTCAATAAAAATCTTAACAAATCTTGCAACTCTAGCATATAGTCAGTAATTTCAATCTGACCCCACTCCACGAGCAAACATTCTCCAGAAAAACAATAATGTTTAAGGATACTTCAAATGGTTGGATTGTCTATACTAATAAAAAGCATTCCTTGTATTTTGTTAGCCACTAATGTTACTACTTTCAGTTCCAGAATGTTGGCAAATAAAAAACCTGACTCAAAAGATTACTTCCAGCTCTACACTGACATGCAAGTGACTGAGGGCTTGCAGTACTGATAACTAGTAGCTACTGCTACTATTCTGCAAAAATGTGAATAATACTTTTCTTACAAGAGTCCTTTTCCCAACTCTGCTTTCCAAACTAACAGCCCTAAATTGTGATATAGGTTCCTTTTAAGGCAGGGATGGAGAACTCATAGCCTTCCAGACCTAGCCAGCATAGCCTGTGAAAGTTGTTTGTATTCAGGCAGAACCTGGAGTAAGCTACTCACACCTCTTGGAAGAGGTGCAACTGAAGGCTAGGCATTTCTGTATTGTGCCTCTAAAGAAGCCAGCACTGCAGAGATAAAATTAAATGAAGAAAAAGATCCATTTTATTTGACAATTCAACAAGGACTTGAAGCTGGGTATTTTATTGCACTACCAACTATTTGGCTACTATAGTGCACTTGTAAACATAATCAAGAGCAAATTCCGTGTGCACATAAAATAGAAAAATAAAAACAAGACCATTGCAACACTTGGAAAATTTAACGAATTTGTTTCTATATCTGTTCACTTGCGAGATCCAAGACACCCTCATCTAAACAGGAGGAGCCAATACGGCTTTATTTTTTTTGAATATATATATATACTTCTGCAAAGCTCCACTTTACTCTCAAATAAGATGGCAGCGGGAAAAAAAACTCCCAGCGAAGAAACAGGGCAACTTACAAAAACTGCCCCCTCCCAGAAAAATAACATGACCGGGTAGGAAAACAACAACCCGGCACGACAAGATTTAGAAAAAGATTGGACGAGCAGAAGGGGAAATGCCCCCCCCCCGGAGGCTGCCCGCCGAGAAAAATGGCGAAACCGACCCAGGGCAACGTCCTCAAGACGGAAAATAAAATGAACAGCGGAGGAGGAGAAATTCCCAGCCACCAAGTCTCCAAGCCATCTCCATCACAAAGCTTTCTCCCATCCCACGCCCCCGCTTTACTACACCAGAGACCGAGCAAACAACAACAAGCCCTCCCACTAACTTGCACCTACATCGCGGAAACCGCAAGCTCCCGGCTTTTATATTGGCCTTAAGTCTCGCGGTACGTGATCTTCCCAGGTTCGCGAGATTTGGACGACCCAAACTCCCGCGATAATTTAGGAGTCGCCGGGGCGAGATGATAAGGGAAATTCTCAGCGGCCTTCTTATAACACTCCTCCTCCTTGGAGGACGGTTGTGAGGTTGGGTTTTTGGCGCTGCCTTCTCGTCTTGTTTGACTTGTCCGGTGTGTGGTGCTTGTGGGCGGTCTGTCTCAGGTAAACTCGCTGTTTTCGTGGGTCCGCCTTTGGGCTCTTTGCTGTTGTGGGTCCCCCATGGTTGCGGGGGTGGGGGTGGGACTTTTATGTAGTGCTTCGGAAGTTTGGGTGCTCTGGGTAGGACCTGTTAATGTCAGTGGACTGAGTTGCCCTGTTTTGAGCCAGGATTTGTGTCCCCCGGAGTTTATTTTTTACGGTAAAGGGTGTCCCTGGGATGCCTGAACCCTGTTTCCTTTACTGTGCAATGACGTCCATAGGTTGGCATTTGAGCACATGATGTCCTGGGCAAAGGTGTGGCCTTGTTTTCTTCAAAATTGCCCAGTGACTATGTGGTGGTTTGGTTTTTTTTTTTAACATTTCAATTTCTTAAAAAAATCATATGCACGGCATGGGTGTAGATCTCTCGCCACAAAACAACAACAGCCAACTGAGCAGGTGGACATGTGGCTCCGTGATTTGTGTCAACAGTTTCCAAGGAAGCAGCCCTGTTAATTTGTCGAGGCATTTGGGTAAAAGGAGAGGAAATAATATGGCATGAAAAACTAGCAGTTTTATCTCGGAGCTTTTGTGAGTCAAAGTCCTCTTGGAGTGCAAATCAATATATTTATATTTATTCTCCGTGACCAGGCAAGGACAGAGATAACTGGCAAAATGAGAATAGATTTGTTGTCACAGGAATGGACTATCAAGCTGTAAGTTGCTTAACTGAAGCAATTAATAATTTATAATATCTGGTATTGCTGTTTATCTGGACTATCAAGCTGTAAGTTGCTTAACTGAAACAATTAATAATTTATAATACTTTATTTTATCTGGTATTGCTGTTCCTGAAAAAGAATCATATGGACAGCCCTCTGAAGATCTCTCTCTATGTAGTTGGTATTATTCTTCCTTGCTAGTTGTTTGAAGACAAAATGTGCAGTCTATGGGATCAACAGGACAGTAAGAGACATTCCACTATACTTTGTGTGGTATTCATATACTGTGTTTCAGTTTTCTGACTTGTTGAAAATATGTAACAGCTGCCAATTGCTTATAAAGATTGAGAACTTGAACTTGCAGTGTTTTTGACATACAATATCTCACTGAAATCTTTAAGTGAATGTAAAACCAGTCCTTTGTCAGTTATAAGCAATCCTTGTAGATAGTAACCTTTGCTCTGAATGAGTTGTGAAGGCAGTCAGGTGCCCTATGTAAACTACAGTAGTTGGCATTCTCTGTTGATCTGTTTGTATTTCTCTTAAAAATAAACCAGTTTGATTGTGCACACAGCTAGTTGTTGTTTTGAAATACAATGACAACAGAATCTAACACATGTAATTTTTCATTGGGGAACTTTTACATTCAAAAGGCAGTTTATTTACCCGGACATCTCTGTTCTTTCAAGAGGTATATTACTGAATGTGACCAGTTAGGTAGAGATGACTGGTGACAACATGCCTATTATAGCCGCCTAGAGTGGTCGTGATTGACCAGATAGGCGGGGTACAAATTGAATGAATGAATAAATAAATAAATCTGATATGCTGGTGGAGGCAGGGAGGTGTTCAACAAAGAGCAATTGGTGAATCTGGGAGAACTAAAGCAATCTGTAATGTGGCTTCACTAAATGCAGGTGCCAGTGTTCGTACAAGGACATTTATTTTGGTTGTTGTGAGTTTTTCAGGCTGTTTGGCTGTGTTCTGGAGGTTTTTCTTCCTAACGTTTCACCAGTCTCGGTGGTCGGCATCTTCAGAGGCCAGGAGTTAGAACTCTGTCTGTTCTAATGCCTGTCCTCTGAAGATGCCGGCCAGAGACTGGCAAAACGTTAGGAAGAAGAACTTCCAGAACACGGCCAAAGAGCCTGAAAAACCTACAGCCATTGGATCCCAGCCATGAAAGCCTTCGAGAAGACATATATTTTATTAAAAATATCTTACCCTCCTTTCTTTTGACCAAACTCCGGGAGGCAGTGGAAGACAGGAGGGCCTGGCGTGCTCTGGTCCATGGGGTCACAAAGAGTCAGACATGACTTAATGACTAAACAATAACAATCCTCCTTTCTCCTTAAAAGGATCCAGGGTGGCTTTCTTGTTCCTACAAGTACTAATGGCATTGTGCCTTTTGTCTTATTTCTTGTTCTTGGTGGTAATGTTTTTCCTTTGGTCTTCCTTAGCTGATAAGATTATGTTGAGTGTGCATATGCATATATTTCAGTTCATGACACTGGATTTGCAGATCTTTCATCACCTTCCTGCATGAGATATCCTTCAGTGCTAATTACTGTATATGACATCCTCCAGTGTTGACTTCTAATGTAGTCCTTTGAGAAGTATTTTTATTTACATTTTTAAAACGTAGCTTATTTGCATAGCACAGTTCTAAATCTGATGAACTATCTTGCAGGATGAAAAAAAGTACAGTCTCCTTAGGAAAATATTTATTTGTATATATCAAGCATGTTTTGTTCAAGAAACTAATGCTTTTTCCTGTTCTATTCTAGATGGCATGAAGAGTGATGTTTCATTTTAAAACAAGTCTTCTCAAAGGAAAACGTTCACAGTTGACCTCTGTCTTTATAAGTAATGCCGGTTCGGTTGCCTTTGGAGACATATGTTTACTTAGTAATTAATGCAAAAAGTCTTTGGGGTAAACAGAGGACCAAGCAGCTGTACTATTTGTATAGTCCTAAGTTTTTTTGGAATATAGGTGATGGTGTTCCTTTTAGAGTTTTACACATAAGCAAACCATATTATAAATGGACCAGAGGCAGAACGCTGTGGTATAATAAGTACTTCTTTTATCACAACTTTTTGCATTACAGAGTTTCTAAATATAGTACTTCCAAGGAACTGACAAAAGCAAGCAGTCGCATGTCACGGTTTAAGAACACTTTGGAATCTGTCTCAAAAGCTGTGTCCGGAACTCATAGTGAACTGGTTTCACGGATAGCTCGACTTAAGCCTTATTCTGGTATATTGAACAGACCAGTTGAAAATAAAGAAAATAGTTTTTTTATGAAAACAGAAAATGACGCACAAGCCACAGATCAAAGAAGTCAGGGAGACTTTGTTCATAGCTCAGGTGACAGAAAGCCTGTGTCAGCCTTTGGAAGAATAGATTCCAATCAAGATTCTGTGAAAGATCTCACAGATATTAAAAACAATCTTTTTCATGTTAGTTGCTTTGCTACAAGCTTTGGAGAAACATACAACTTTCTAGCAAATCACATCAATTGCTATTTTAGTACTAGTGGCATGGATCAAGAGAAGAATGAGAATTCTTCCCCATCTAAACCACAGAATCGGGGAGAGAAAAAGCAGAATTCACTAGAAGATGATACTTTGAGTAATGAAAACAGGACAGATGCTTCATCTGCTCTAATAGCTACAGCACATTCTCCAGATGCTGAAAAGGGTGATGATGTACCTGCCACTTCCAGCAAAAAGAGCATTGCAAGTTTTCTTTCCTACCCTAGCAACAGCATGCAGGCTTTTGTAGATAGTTACATTGGAGGCTTGGTGCCCAAGTTACGATCTGATCCCAAATCTGCCCTGCAAGAAAAAAACAAAGTGCAGGAGCACGAGGAGGCTTTGAAAGAGGATGAGGAGAGCAAACAGGCGGAAGAGAAAGAAAAGAGGTTGTCTCTTCAAAGGGAAAAGGCAAGCTTTCTTTTTTAACAATAACTTTATAAAGATGTTTTGTAAAGGTGTAGATGCTCTACCTGGAGTAATGATGTACAGATTCAGTGGATGCAATGATACTTTTCTGCCCCCAAAAGATTTCTACCCATAGAAGTTCCAGATTTACTGGAAATTCTTGTAGTATAGTAAAGGAAGAACTGATGGGTTATTTTTATATGAAACACTTCTCTGTTTGAATAGAGCAGTTTGGTACAGCTTTGCAAATGTTTCCACAAAAGGTGTTACCCATGCATGCTTAACACATGACTTGTGCCATGTCAGTAGACTATAGTGATTCATTGTAATCTTCCCTATGCACCTGGATATGGTCTTAGTCACTATGATGAATGGTTGTTTACCAACCTACATAATGTTTCTAGAAGGTTATAAGGATTATTGAAATTTTTAAGATGTGTGTATAAGCAGACACATACAGACGTGTAGCTCCTTGTAAAACATTATTGCTCATCTTAATGTTTTCCTTCCTTTTTTTTTTCTCTTGACAACTGGATAAATTATAAGTAGGTCCATGAAAGATGCTGCTCATGAGGATGTTTTGTTATCCCCCAGCCTCCATACATATCTCTGCTAGTTGTTTATGGACTTCAAAGAGAGAAAAACCTATAATATTCTAATCTCCCATAGGAAAAAAATTAGACTAGGCCTGGTCAAGAAAATAGATTATGAAAATACTGGTTGGTGTTAAAATATATGACCTTCCTATTTCCAGTGCAGTATTAATGTTAGTTTAATGGGGTAGAACAATAGTTTTCTGATGTATTAAAGATTACAACTAGAGATTGGGAGTGCGTCTTTGTCTTCCGGGAGAGACAAATACAAAGCCTGCCATCACAGCCGATTGGCCTGATTAAACCATCCTGCCCCCATAACTGGGCATCCACTTACAACACGGCATGCACTGCCATTGTTATTTTCTCCACGCCAATTGTAAAAGTATCCTGGTTGAGACTTCCGTGCCTCCATGTGCTGCTGACCCATCTGGCGAGGGGGCAGTATGATAAGCCTCTCCATATAGTTGCTGGTTGGTCAGCAGTGTAGGGAGGTACAGAAGTCCCAGCCAGGCTACTTCCACAATTGGTGGAAGGAAAAGAACAACGGCAGCACGTACCACACTGTAAGCTGTCAGTGGACACCTGGTTGCGGGGTGTGGGGGGGGCAGGAGGGTTTATTCAGGCTGGCCAACTGTGATGGTGGGCTTCATATTCATCTCCCCTGGGGGACAAATACAACCCCCCCTTCTCTAATTGCAACAAAATTCTGTACACACTTATGTGGAAATAGGTTTATGTCTTCCAAGTAGATATGTGTAACATTTTTGGGTAACGCTCATTGTGGCAAAAGCTTTTATAAGATATATGTTACTTCATTAGAAGATAAATTATGGTCTTGTGGGTAGGACATAATATGTTTAACAAAGTGACCTGTGGCCCAATTAAATGTGTTTGTTGAGATACTGCTTTAACTTATTTTTATGATAGATTTCCAATATTTTTCTTGTTTTTCTAGATTATTGCGAAGGTGAGTATAGATAACAGAACCCGGGCTTTAGCTCAGGCATTACGAAGATCATCTAACAGAAGAGTCTGTATCAACAGGGTTGAAGAGTTGACATACCATCTCTTGGAATTTCCAGACAGCAGAGGTGTTGCTATTAAGGTACAAAATAATTCAGTCTTCTGACTATGAATAGAGAGTGTAATCACAATTACAATGTTACATAAGTAATAATTGGTAATATGTTTCATTTTGTTAACTTATATAGTATGCTATCATATTAAATCATAGATCCACAGAGATCACTGGCTTTAATACCCACTAAAGCAGGGCAGGGCAGCCTGCACCCCTAAGCGCGATTTGATCCTAGTTTTTCCCATGGCAATCTAGTGGGAGTGGCCCCAGGCACTCCACATTACAGTGCCATAAACACTGGCTTTGACCTTGCCCTTTGCCTCTTTATGGTCTCCACTAAATAACACTAGAAGAAACTCATTCTTCTGTGAAAAAAGAAGCTTTCTCATGCCTATACTGAAGCTACGCCAGTAAATATCTGCATAAAGTCTCAAGAGTGCAAAGCTATGCTGCATACTTTCATGAGATAATATGCCAGATTTCTGTCTCAGTAGAATCAGAAGTTAAATATATTTATTACATGCTAGTTTTGTGATTTGTTATTTAATTGCTGATGTGCATTTTAATAAATTTATTGTAATTACATTTCATTAAATAAAGGAATCTACCAGCATGATCCTGAGCATATTTACTGAATAGTTAATCAAAAATATATTCAAAATGTATTAGGCCATGTATAGTAAGAGTTATCTGTATTTTATTAAATCATCAATACTTTAATTTCAGGTCACACGTATTTATTCTGTTTACTGTATTCAGATTTGTTTGTAAAACTATTAGTTAATTAGGTTTTTTTCTTTTTTTATTTTATAGGAAAAAGTCATTCCGTGCTTATTGCAGCTAAGACAGTCCAATGATGAAGCTCTTCAGGCTGCTGTTAGAGAGGCTTTGGCTGTAATTGGATATACAGACCCTGTAAAAGGATGGGGCATTCGAATTCTCACAATCGATGGTGGAGGAACAAGGTATTGTATTTGTTGGAAGTAATTTAGTTAGTTCATCCTGAAAGGTTATGAGTAGTTACGTGTTGTCAAGTTGCTTCTGACTTATGATGAACCTGACGGGGTTTTCATAGTACAGTATGTGGTGACAGGCTGATTTATCATTGCTGTTGCCTAGGCCTGGTCAAGAAAATAGATTATGAAAATACTGGTTGGTGTTAAAATATATGACCTTCCTATTTCCAGTGCAGTATTAATGTTAGTTTAATGGGGTAGAACAATAGTTTTCTGATGTATTAAAGATTACAACTAGAGATTGGGAGTGCGTCTTTGTCTTCCGGGAGAGACAAATACAAAGCCTGCCATCACAGCCGATTGGCCTGATTAAACCATCCTGCCCCCATAACTGGGCATCCACTTACAACACGGCATGCACTGCCATTGTTATTTTCTCCACGCCAATTGTAAAAGTATCCTGGTTGAGACTTCCGTGCCTCCATGTGCTGCTGACCCATCTGGCGAGGGGGCAAGTATGATAAGCCTCTCCATACAGTTGCTGGTTGGTCAGCAGTGTAGGGAGGTACAGAAGTCCCAGCCAGGCTACTTCCACAATTGGTGGAAGGAAAAGAACAACGGCAGCACGTACCACACTGTAAGCTGTCAGTGGACACCTGGTTGCGGGGTGTGGGGGGGGCAGGAGGGTTTATTCAGGCTGGCCAACTGTGATGGTGGGCTTCATATTCATCTCCCCTGGGGGACAAATACAACCCCCCCCTTCTCTAATTGCAACAAAATTCTGTACACACTTATGTGGAAATAGGTTTATGTCTTCCAAGTAGATATGTGTAACATTTTTGGGTAACGCTCATTGTGGCAAAAGCTTTTATAAGATATATGTTACTTCATTAGAAGATAAATTATGGTCTTGTGGGTAGGACATAATATGTTTAACAAAGTGACCTGTGGCCCAATTAAATGTGTTTGTTGAGATACTGCTTTAACTTATTTTTATGATAGATTTCCAATATTTTTCTTGTTTTTCTAGATTATTGCGAAGGTGAGTATAGATAACAGAACCCGGGCTTTAGCTCAGGCATTACGAAGATCATCTAACAGAAGAGTCTGTATCAACAGGGTTGAAGAGTTGACATACCATCTCTTGGAATTTCCAGACAGCAGAGGTGTTGCTATTAAGGTACAAAATAATTCAGTCTTCTGACTATGAATAGAGAGTGTAATCACAATTACAATGTTACATAAGTAATAATTGGTAATATGTTTCATTTTGTTAACTTATATAGTATGCTATCATATTAAATCATAGATCCACAGAGATCACTGGCTTTAATACCCACTAAAGCAGGGCAGGGCAGCCTGCACCCCTAAGCGCGATTTGATCCTAGTTTTTCCCATGGCAATCTAGTGGGAGTGGCCCCAGGCACTCCACATTACAGTGCCATAAACACTGGCTTTGACCTTGCCCTTTGCCTCTTTATGGTCTCCACTAAATAACACTAGAAGAAACTCATTCTTCTGTGAAAAAAGAAGCTTTCTCATGCCTATACTGAAGCTACGCCAGTAAATATCTGCATAAAGTCTCAAGAGTGCAAAGCTATGCTGCATACTTTCATGAGATAATATGCCAGATTTCTGTCTCAGTAGAATCAGAAGTTAAATATATTTATTACATGCTAGTTTTTTGATTTGTTATTTAATTGCTGATGTGCATTTTAATAAATTTATTGTAATTACATTTCATTAAATAAAGGAATCTACCAGCATGATCCTGAGCATATTTACTGAATAGTTAATCAAAAATATATTCAAAATGTATTAGGCCATGTATAGTAAGAGTTATCTGTATTTTATTAAATCATCAATACTTTAATTTCAGGTCACACGTATTTATTCTGTTTACTGTATTCAGATTTGTTTGTAAAACTATTAGTTAATTAGGTTTTTTTCTTTTTTTATTTTATAGGAAAAAGTCATTCCGTGCTTATTGCAGCTAAGACAGTCCAATGATGAAGCTCTTCAGGCTGCTGTTAGAGAGGCTTTGGCTGTAATTGGATATACAGACCCTGTAAAAGGATGGGGCATTCGAATTCTCACAATCGATGGTGGAGGAACAAGGTATTGTATTTGTTGGAAGTAATTTAGTTAGTTCATCCTGAAAGGTTATGAGTAGTTACGTGTTGTCAAGTTGCTTCTGACTTATGATGAACCTGACGGGGTTTTCATAGTACAGTATGTGGTGACAGGCTGATTTATCATTGCTGTTGCCTGTGAATTTCCATGGCTGAGTAGAGATTTGAATCCAGGTCACATGACTCCTAGTCATCCATTCTATCTAATACTCCATGCTGACTAAATATAACCGGACCTTAAAATCTGTTTTGGGAAGGGGGGGAAAATATTTACTATTGTTTTATCAGCTCAGTCTTATTTCGTTCTTTGAGTAAAATATTTCACAGGCTGGCTTGCGTTGGCAGTCATGGGCTTCTGAAATACATCGTGCCAGTTCCAAATGAGAAAAATATTGCAGTTCTCTTGGGTTCTACAAACAGAATTGTGCTTGAATACCCAGGGAGTATTCAAGTCTTTAAACTTGGGTTTACCACTCCTTATCCTGTGATGTGTCATTTGCACTGCATTACTTATTACATGTGATGCAACCATTGTTGAGAATTTATTCATAATCTTTGTAACTATAATGTTGTTACATGTGACAAAATTGTACACCACAAATATATTTATGTATATTGACTAGAGAAGATTTTCTTGCTCTTGGCTAAGGATTTCTTTCATTCTTTCTGAATGTAATCAACTGAAATTCCTACTCAAATATGGAGCACTTCAGGTAGCATTTGAAACCTGCACTTGCTTAAGAAGAGTCTTTAGAGGCCAGTTAAAAGAAAGCTCTACATGCTTTAAAATAGGACACTGAACACCTATTACCAGCTCTTACATTTTCAGTTCAGTATCTGCTAGGGTAAACAAAAACATATAATATTTATACCTGCCTGTTTTAACTTATTTGTAGTTCTTTTTTGCATTGTGGGTTGTGGTTTGGCTTCCACTAATGCTTAGCTGCTGAAACCTATAGCACATTGGCGGTGAACCTTTTTGGCCTTGAGTGCCCAAACTGGGGGGGGGAGGGGTACCAGCAGGTGGTGGAACTGGAAGGTGGCGGTGGTGGAAACGAAAGTGGCGGCGGAATAGGGAATCCCAGGCACAGAGATGCCTTGAGACCCTATTCCGGATCTCCTGCCAGCACCAGTTGGTCCGGATCCTGGGCCACCGTCTGTCGAAGCACCAGCACCACAGCTGCAGCCACCTCCTGAGGTTTGGTTGCATGGGGGAGTAGTGACCCAGCGACTTATGGTTCGCATGCCTGCAGAAAGGGCTCTGCATTTCAGCTGTGGCATGTGTGCCATAGGTTCGGCATTGCTGCTATAGCATGTCTGTATCTATGGGGAAACATCGCTATACGGATAGGAAAATGCCATAGGAACGCATTAAACTTAGTTTAAGGCATTCCGATGGCTTCTAAACTCACCGTTAAGCGATGTTTCCCCATAGCTCCGCCATTTTCGTGCCCTCGGTAAGTGAGGGCAGGGCGCAAAAATGGTTGCGGTGGCCATTTTGGGTCATCCGGTGGCCATTTTGGAACTGCTGAACAGCTGATTTCCCGACATCACGATGCGAAGATCCGTAAGCGAAACGCTTACGGATCGTCACAATGCGATTTTTGGCCATAGAGACCATCGGTATGCGATCGCATTAGCGATCTCAAAAAAGAGATCGCTATGCGAATTCGTCGTTATACGGTGCGCTCATTAAGCGAGGCACCACTGTATAACCATAATACCTTTTTTACATGGTACATTAACTGATGTATTTAATCTTGGCAAATTTATGGTGACCACACAAGTCTTTGGATGGGCCAGCTAAGCAAATTGGGAATGAAACTTCAACTAAGCAAGCAAATGCCCTATAAAATATGCTTTTATATTAACTGTCAGATGAAGAAGTTTTTAGCTTTTTGAGTTCTCTAAAGAGAAAATGAAAGAAAATGAGCAGTGGTCTTCAGCAATTTTGTTTCATTCAGTTAATGTTTGAAGACTTGCCAGGACAATATGCTGCTTTGGGAAAACTGAGAGTCAGATATAAACTATGCATAAAAGATGCTTGTAAGGATTCTAAATAAGATCAAAAAATTTGATTATATTTTTTCCTTTGGCAAAAATGCCTACAGGCTTCTAGTTAATTTTTCTTGCTTCCTTTTTTATGTTTAGGACGTCCAGAAATAATAACATACAAATGAGCTAGAGAAACAGAAGCTCCGCTACTGTTTACCCAATAAATTTATAGTATACACTCAAAATAGTTATACAAGTTATTGGTAGTGCCTCAACTTGAAAGTATCAGTTTGTCAGCGCATTCACCAAGTGATTCATCTTAATGTATGCACAGGCTTGACATTAATACATTTGCAAAAATTAATGGATTTTGTTTTAAGATTTCACTGCTCATATAAAGTTACCAAACTGCTGCTGCAGACTTCCATAGCTCATCCATTCATTTATTTTAAGTATTCTAAAAATTTTATAGAACTTAGAATATGTAATTGCTGTTGTAGTTTTGTTTGTGTTTATATTATATCCCTTGTCCAGGTTTTGAAACAGGAAATATATATTAAAGTTTGTTTAAAACAAGAATTTTAATGCTGATTTCTAAAAATCTGACACTCTTGTCACAGTTAATGAATCATCTAAAATAATTCCGACTTTCAGAGCCTCGGCTTAGTTGGAGGGGATATTTGAACACACTCTTCTATAGCTCAGTGAAATAGGTGTCTAGGTACAGAGCCAGAGGCTGGGAGTTCAGTTCCCCACTGTGAATCCTGGAAGAGCAAGCTTGTGTGGTCTTGGGCAAGCTCTGCAGCCCCAGACTGCACCTGGAAGAAGCGAACAATAAACTCTCTACATAGAAAACCCTAAAAAGGATTACCATAAGTGAGAAGTGATTTGACAGCACACAATTATTATTATTATTCTATTCAGTAATTACTTGCTTCTGGTTTCCAGTGTAAAATACAGGGCTTCCTAATTTCTTTCGGTCCAGTGTAAGTTATAGTGATATTTTTGATTAATTTCACTAATTATCAACTATAACATAAATTTGGCACTAACCCATTAATTGCTCTTAAATTACAGAGCTGCTTGAAACATTAATTACTTGTAATCATTGCCATGTTGTCTTGTTTTGAATCAGTGAACTGTGAAGGTATATGGTAATGTATTCTCATTTCTAATTTCCAAAGCAATTACTTTCTTGCTTGATAGTTCTCTGTATAAGGGCTGTTTTGGCACATTGCATCTGTAGAAGAAGCACTTGTAAAAATGGGAGCATTAAAATGGTTTTGAATATATTGTTCTTAAATATGCCACATTTTCTGTGGCAGCACAAGGAAAGATGTGTAAGTGTCATTCTATTACTATAACCAGTGCTGGGTTTAGAACTACAGTAGTTCTGAACTGTGCACTAGTAGGAGAATACACTACTTGTGCACAGTTTCTAGTTGCACAAGTTTTTGGTCAAGTGGAAATGTGTTTAGTGCTTGGAAGAAGAAGAAAAAAATCACCTAATGACTGCAATTGGAAAAAGTAGAATTTAACTAGCATGCTCTTTTTCCTTGTTAGTATTATACAGCATTAAAACCATGATGTCTGCTCCATGTAAAAAATTATTTCAGTGTAACAAATTATAATGTACTGGTAACATAAAAAATAAATAAAACAAAAGACCATACTAGTTATTTGCTTTTACTTAAAAACAACCAGTATAGAATGCTTTTTACATTGCAGAGGTTTAGTGGCACTTCAGATTCTTCGTAAACTAGAAGAAATTACTGGAAAACCTGTTCATCATCTTTTTGACTACATTTGTGGAGTGAGTACAGGTAAATATTCCTGAAAATAATGTCATATATAAGATACAGAAAAACATTTGTTTTTTTCAGGCAGGAGTAGAACATCTGTGTGCTGAGCACTGATTTTGTGTCTTAAACAGTAATCTTTACACTGTAGCCTTTCTCCAGACACAGTTTAAGTCAATTTTTTTCAAAAATGTGTAGCTTAGGTTTTTTAGCTCTTTAGAAAAGCAAGACTAAAGCCTTTCCATATACATCGCTGTCCAGTTCCTTGCGTGGTATATATAGATTAAAATTTATTTATTTTTAAACCACCACCCCCTTTTCCCTTCAGCTAATGTTACAACTTTCGGAAACGTTTTAAGTTTCATGGGTGATCATCCTCCAGTACTTAATGGAATTGAAATGGGTTTTTATCCAGAGAGTTTTCTATGAAAATGAGTGCTTATTTTATCTCTCAAATCATATGAGTACTTATTTTACCTCACAAAAGATTAATGTATGACAGAAGTAAAATTGATTTCAGACACGAGATTCTTCATGGGAGCTGCTTGAGAATTAGTTTATACTGTACAGGTATTCTTAATTTGTGAGTGTTTGCCTAGCAAAACCCATGGCTATTTTCTATCTGTTCCTAGTTCAAACCTTAGCTTGTTAGGCACACATAGGAATACAGGTGGTGGCTGAAACAGTGTTATGCTCTTTGGAACAATCTTAGCCTATTATATTGTTTTCGGGGCTTGAGTGTCATATCTAAGAATTTATCCAGTCAGAATATTTGTTGTTGTTTTCTGTTTCTATGAGTTAATGGTTATCTTGGTGAAAAGAGAAATCCTTGCTTTCTTAAGTTTTTCTTGGACTGTTGAAGCATGAACTTTTAGTTCTGCAGTTTGTTGTTAGGAGGTAGGGTTTTGCATTTGAGTGCTTTCAGTGCTTGTTCTGTCTAAATGAAAGCTTGCCTGTTTTTCTTGTTTTTTGGAAGAGTGAGCTATGTGCATGTTTCTAGTTTATCTTTTTCTTGGATGGGTGGATGTTTTCCTTGTTTCATTGGCTTTTTCTAATTATTATTTAGTTAATTTACTGTGTATTTATTAAAGGTGTATATTTTAATGGGGAGTTGGGAGATTCCCCCCTTCTATTGGTTTGTGTGGACGATGGATGAACTTTGTGACTGTTTCAGATTGCCACTGGCTATGTGAATGTGATAACATAAACTAGGGCAGACATAGGTGTGAGGATTTTTTTTCTTTCTCATCTGTACTGTTGCCTGATGATGGTGATATGATGTGATAATGTTGTACATAGTCTGATGATGATTTCTTTTTCTCATCTGTAGCTTGTTGATGATGATAGTGGTGATTTGTACTGTATCAGCTCCTTATAGCTATAGTCTAGAATATAATCCCACGGGAGAATGGTCAGGAAAGGGAAAGCAGTTTTTGTAACTACAAGGAATAGTCAGTGCCAGATTGGCAAGATTTCTGTCCTTCCATGCTTATTTAAACAGGAAATAAAAATGGAGCATTTGGCAGCTCTTCAAACTAGTACCGCTGTCAGTAGCAATATAGTATTGGAATAGATTCTGTAGATCTTAAAATTGCTGATTACATTTCTGATATTAATTTTGGAATATTTCACACAATTGATGAAACACTAGATGGTGCTGTAAATGAATGCTTAGCTATGAATCAATTGCATTGCCAAGTATTGCTTAAATTCCAACCCCCTTGGTTTTTTCAAAGTTCTTAAACACATGTTGGGGGGGCATATTAATCCTGTAACTTTGTTGGCACTGAAAATAGATTGCATTTCTCTGCCATTTTTCCCAGTAGTGGGACTACTAATAATATTAATCCTGAAATCAAAATTCTTCTGATGGTTTAAAAAAACTAAAACCAGTAAAAATATTTATCTAACCAGTACTAGCAGTATCTAAGGCCAAGAAGTGTATATTTTCCTTCATTGTCCTCAAGAGCCTTTGTAGGTGGTTATCACTGCCTTTTAGAGACTTCTATTAAGTGTTAAACATTTCCCTCTTATTGTCAGTTGCATATACAAAAGCTGGATATAAGCATTTTTATTACATGGATACTACAGTATAAAGTAACTTTATCCAGTCTGATAGCCTTTAGATGTGTTGGACAACACCACACATCACTCTAAGACTAGTTACTAGTCCCAGCTAGAGTAGAGTAGATCTGTTGCATCAGTTACTGAATAGAGTCAACACTAATGTAAATTCCATTCATTTTGTGTGTGTGTTCTGGCTGGGTTCCTACCATAATGGGAACTATAGTATGAAACATTTTGAGTGTGTCATGTTGAAGAGGACAATGTAAGATGTGTTAGTTGTTGTGTGTACAAAAGTGTCATATTTCAAATGTATAAATCTTTTTTTCCAGGTGCTATATTAGCATTCATGTTAGGATTATTTCATATCCCTCTGGATGAATGTGAAGAACTTTATCGCAAATTAGGAACAGATGTGTTTAAGCAAAATGTCATCGTTGGGACAGTTAAAATGGGCTGGAACCATGCATTTTATGACAGTGAAATGTGGGAGAAGATTCTCAAGTAAGTTAACTTTATCTAAATATTTGCCATGTTGCTTCCTTCAGTGTGTATAACACAGAGGTCAGACAAGATCCCTCTTCCATGTAATGATGTTTTGGAGGATTTTTGCCAATTCCTATGTTAGTACATCTTCGCCAAATAACATTATACTTATGTTGCCATGACAGCAATTGCCTGTCTTCATTGTTGCACCTATTTTTAGAGCTGGCGTGTGGGTATGCTTTTCAGATCGTTCTCATAGTTATTGTGTTCAGATTACCCCAGTACTTAAAAGGCTTTGTTCAGGCTACTCATCTACTTAGAATTGTTTCAAAGTGTTTATTTTTCTGTTTCTCAGAAATAAATTGAGCAGGGTTGCTCTGAAGTCTGTTTTCTGGTTATATGCCCAATTGTTCCATGATGCTTGTTGTAATTCATTATTCTCCCCATAAATCCCTGGTGAATTGCCTGCAGAGCAGATCTATCTGCTGTCCAAAAACTGAAATGCCATGAGATGCACTAATTGTTACAGGTGGTGAATAAAAACCAGTTTGTGCCTTTGTTGTTTTCCTCCAAAAGAGGTTAAAATGGTAAATATTATTATTATTTGTTTTATTTACATGCCACATTTCTCCCAACAAGGGACTCAAAGCAACTCACAACATTAAAATTCACCCAATTTAAAAATATAATAAGTTAAATATAAAAAGACAAATTAAACAAAATATGATTTAAAAAGAAATTAAAGGATTAAAACATTTAAAAATGAAAAAAGATTAAAATTATCTGCTAAAATGGGGTTCATGGATTCAGCTGTAATTGTTAAAAGCCTGCCTGAAGAGATGGGTCTTTAGCTTTTTTCAGGATAAAAGGGAAGGGGCCATCCTGATTTCCTGAGGGAGAGCATTCCATAGCCTGGGAGCTGCCACAGAGAAGGCCCTATCCCGTGTCCCCATTGCTTGTGTTGGCAATGAGACTGAGAGGAGGGTCTCTTCTGCTGATCTTAATCTCCAAGAAGGTGCATATAGGGAGATACGGTCCTTCAGGTAGCCTGGACCCAAGCTGTATAGGGCTTTATACATAATGACCAGCACTTTGAATTGGGTCCGTAAACTGACTGGTAGCCAGTGTAGTTCTTGTAACAGGCACGCTATATGCTCCCTGTAGCTGGCCCCAGTCAGTACTCTGGCTGCAGAGTTTTGCACCAGCTGAAGTTTCTGAACAGTCTTCAAAGGCAGCCTCACATAGTGTGTGTTACAGTAATCCAAATGAGATGTAACTAAGGCATGTGTCACTGTAGCCAAATCTGACATCTCAAGGAATGGGTGCAGCTGGCGCACCAGCTTTAGCTGTGCAAATGCACTCCTGCCCGCTGCTGAGATCTGGACATATACCATTAGGAATGAATCTAGGAGTACAAACAAACTACAGATCTGAGTTTTCAGGAGGAGTGTAACCCCAGCCAGCACAGGTAGTATTCCTATTCTGCCTTGGAAGAGGTTGTCATTTTACACAAGTGGTTGTTTGTTTTAAAATTAAGTATTCCTTAAGATACCTATTTTGTCTTAAATTGTTGTTATACAGGATGATGACTTGTTTGTGTTTGGGATGCTATCTATACAGCTAAGCTGCTGCTGAGTTGAACAGTCAGTAGGGTTACAGCTCATGTCTGGACATATTGATACTCAACTAAACAGATGGGTGCTTTTGAATTAATAGAGGCAATTGGATGACTTCATGTGGGTGCACATAGCACGTTCAAAAATAACTTAAAGGGTTTTCTCACTGACCTAGGGAGAGAATGGGATCAGATGTGATGATTGAAACAGCAAGAAATGCTAGATGTCCTAAGGTAAGGACTACCTTTTGTTTTATTCGTTTTCATATTCATAAGTTCCATACAGGGATTATTCCTCTAATATTTTGGAATAGGCCCATTGAATCAGTGGAGTTCTGGTGAGTCAACTCCTCTCTAAGTCCCATTTATTCCAATGGGCCTATTCTAATTCTGACTAGCAATTAGAGGTTGTGAATCTGATCTTTCTGGAGGAGTACAGCTCCATTCCAAAATGGGTTCTATGTCTGGATGAGTGTATTTTCCCTGTCTTGTCTGGAGTGTGTTTCAGTTTTCACTAATTCATTCATAAACTACTTCTAGAAATTTGTTCATGGTTTTCTGAAGCTACCCCGGGACAGAATGATTACAGAGAACAAGCACATGCAACTTTCAAACACATAACATTTCGGGACCAGTTAATTTGCAGAAGTCATAGAGCTGCACCATTTTCTTTGCTAAAATGTAGCCAAAGGTGTCTAGGGGGGATTATCTGCCATTTTTCAACCTATCCAAGCTTGTTTTAGTCTCAAGGAGGCCTTATTCCGAAACTGGAAGATAAATCCAATCATTTCTGATATTGAAAAAGCCACCTTGCCTAAAACTGCCCCACCTCCAATGGCCCAGAATGGCTTCTGTGGTGCAACTGGCCAACTACAAACCCAAAACTATATGGGGTATATGTGCAAGGTGAGGTCCACAAAAGCAGACTTTGCCCACCTTCCTTTTGGGATTTATCCCAGTCTTTGGGATAAATGGTCCTAGTATTGTCAGAGACTTGCTGTTCTGTCTAAAAGAGAGGTAGTCCATAGAAGGACATCGCGGGGAAAAACAGTAGTCATAAGACAGCATGGTATTCCTCTATCGCCACCTTTTGGGTCCATCCTTTCAGGAAGAATTAAAACTACTATCATTTTGTGTATGCCAAATTCAAAATAAGGCCAAGAAAGATACTGTGGCAAAGCCTTTGAGATCCAGGAGAACCAACCACGCTGAAGTCTCCTGTCCATTCTCTGACATCATTCTTCCGCTGAAGTGACCAAGGCTGTTTTTGTCCCTGAGCAGACTAGAAATTAAATAGACTGTGGATCTAAAGGAACAGCATCATTCAAGACTATCTGAGTTGCAGGATGATTTTTTCCACATCTTGCTCAGAAATAGTAAATGTGATAGAGGGCAAATATTGAGGTTTCTTGGAATCAAATAGCAATTTTGCTACTGCTTCTTAAAGATCTGCTGTTGTATTTTTTTTTTAGTTATGAATTCTTAATTTTGTGATAATGGCCAGTGCAAAATTTAGCCAAGTCTGCACCTGAAAGTTGACGGATAGGCACAGAAACATAACCCCCCACCTAGCCCTACCCCACCATCAAGCTGCGAAAAAGCCTGTACAGTGCAGTAAATACTGTACAATGTATGTACCCACCCAGAACAGGCAGTCTCTTCGTTTAAAAAAAGTCAAAAATCCAAAAAATTAAAAATAAAAAAAAAACAGTCCGTACAGTACCAGAAGACTCTCTCCCTATCCACTCTCTAACCACTTGGACAAGTGATGTTGAAGACAAACAGCCTCTTCGCTGGCCAACGGTCAACTGAAAGTTGAAATTTTGCACTTTCCCCCGCCTCTCCCGCAGTTTTTTTTTCATATCTTGAAGCTTCATTCGCAAGTAGAAGCAACATTTTGTGAACGGAGCTGTTCGTAAGTTGGATTGTTCGTAGGTAGGAACATTCATAAGTAGAGGTTACACTGTATATCTTTGTGCACACTGGCTGCATGAATGATCTCACACCCAGGGTGAGACTGGGAAAGCAAAGAAGAACATCACAGTGCATAAACTATTTCCATAGATTAAACAGCCGATGACACAAAAGCAGCCACCGCTCATATTTTAACAGAAAATCTAGGACCTGTCTTCACACTGAGTTTGGGGTTATAAGAAAGTCAACTTTCATTACATAACCATGCATTTCCCCACAAAGTGTTGCTAGATAATTTTGAAACTCTTTCCTAATTAATTTTCTGTTACACATAGCAACATTGTAAGATAGGTGCTACATGATAAAGGGATAATTGGTCTGAGACTGTGTTATCCTTTATTGTCGTGCCTTTGATATACAGAAAGTTTTAAATATTGTGGAAACATTCTGTGTGGTACATTTCTATTCTATATCATTTCCTTCTCCAAAATGCAGATGATGCAGGTATCATGTTTATGTTGACTAACCCTAAAAAATGACAAATGACACATTTTATTTCAAGTTGGTCACCAAGATTTTTTGCTTCTTTCATGTAGTGAACAACTGGGTTCAGGTTAAGTTATTAAATCTTTGAATCTTCTGTTAGTGGTAGATGCAGTTGGTGAGCTTGCTGATCATGCTTATAAGTTGAAGCAGTTTAGCTTGCCAGCCAAAAGAGAAGTCAAGAGTCCTTCCAAATGAAGTGTTTATTATGCAGTACTTCTATGTCATTAAGTGAATTGTAAGGGGTGGGTAAGGGTAGCCCAATGTTATTTTTCTATCATACACAACCTCCTGGGCTTGCCTCATGGCTTCTTAGGGTGTGTTTTTTTTACTCCTAACAAAAAAGTCTATCAAGATAATGCAGAGTATTCCTTACCAGCAGTATTCAAGGATGGTGGCATGAGTTCTGTTGGTGATTCTCATTAGATTTTTGTAACTTGCCAAGGCTAACTATCAAGGGACCAAGGTACATGCCTGGTTGTACAACCAAGATGCACCACCAGCACCTTATTAGTTAGTCACAGTTATCTGCAGTAGATTACATGGACTCCACTAGGATTCTAGCCATCATATGGAAGTCTCTTTTTGAAATCACATACAGCTAAGGAAGTAACAGAGCAAACTGAACAACCAAAAAGGAAAAAAAACCCACATTATTGAGACTTTGATTTTATTCTCCTCTATTAATGTATAGTGGAAAATACTTATTTTGAAAAGGCTTGATTTAAAATTGAAAAATCTTCTAATGAGTGAAGACATTTAAATTTTGAAGACCGGCTGCCCATCAATTGGAGACAGTTTATTGAAATATTTGTTATTGATAATCAAGTCAATATTGTTGCTCTAGTCTGAAGCAAATTTTCTGCTGGAAAGATGAATTTGATTGTAGTTTTCAGCGAGGTAGTCTTGTTAACCTGTTTTTGCAACAACAAAGACGAAAGGAGTGGGGGACCTTTGAGACTAAACACTTTTTCAGTCTGAGCTTTCATTGATTACAATGTTCAGACACATTCCTTTAATACAGATCATTTTTGATAGTGGAGAATCATACATTAATTGTTGGACTTCTACTTCAAATCTGGAAGAATATTAGGAGTGCCTTTGAGGAGTTAGCAACTCTTGCTTTAATGAGACTTTATAAGTTCCTTTGTAAACACTATTACCCTGTTTCCCTGAAAATAAGATCTAACCTGAAAATAAGCTCTAGTGTGATTTTTCAGGATGCACATAATATAATAAACACCCTAAAAATAAGCCCTAGTTAAGTGAAAGCCTGCCCTCCACCATTGTGCAGCAACCAGAAGAAGATGACATGACTGTATTTGGAATGAATGTAGATTGTTGTACATGAGAAAAATAAAACATCCCCTGAAAATAAGCCCTAATGCATTTTTGGAGCAAAAATTAATATAAGACCCTGTCTTATTTTCAGGGAAACATTGTATCCTGTTTAGTCATGTGACAGGCTCCATACATTTGAACTGGTCTATTGTTTCCTGCTGTATACCATTGTAGTATTGATCAAAATGCTTTACTTAAAAAGTGCGTATGACTTCTTTAAAAAGTGAGTAGAAAGCATGCCTCCCAAACGACTGCTAAAAGATTTAGAAAACTTATACTTGTTTATGTTCATACCATCCAAAAAGCAACAGAAACATTAACCTGCTGTCTTCCTGATAGTTATCAATACACTTCTCCCTTCAACAACACTAGGGTTAGAGGTTCGAGTCCCCATATAGTTTAAGTTCCATGTGTAACTCTTATACCCTTCCAAAATGTAACTACTGAAAATACTACCTTGGACAGACCAGCTCCTCCTGGTGGATCCCTCTCTGCCAACTTCTTGCAAGTGAGGGTTGTCTTACTCAGAGTATCCTCCTCAAGCGTCAGCCCATAGAAGTGCCCAAGGACAGCATGGATGAGGAAAGAGAAAGAAGGGAACAGCCTCATTCCAACTACTCCAAAGCCCACCAGCTGCTCCCCTCCCTTATCATTGTCTGTCAGGGTGCAAAAACAGCTGCCCATGTATTTCCCACAGCATCAGCTTTGCTTGCTGGCCACTGAATTGAGAGCTCACCATGATCACTTCTGCTCACCCTGTCTCAATGCCATGCTCCCACGGGCCCTCTTCACTCCCGCTCCCAGTCCCACAAGAACAACAAAAATAACGTGGGGAATGGGCCAGAAGGGTTGGGGAGACATTTGCCATATTTGGACACATCGTGCAGGATGATTTTTGGGGGGCACAGAAAGTCCTGGAATTTATATAAAAACTTATGTTTCCAATATTTTTTAGTTTTTCAAGTGAAGGAAGTACATGTAGCCTACAAAGGTGAATTATAAAAAAATTGTTTCTAACTACAGAAGATGTAAAAAAAATAGTTCTATTATGAAATAAAACTTTTTTTTTTTTTTTGGGTTAGGTGGCTGCAGTCAGCACCATTGTGAGCAGAGGAACACCACTGAAAGCTTTTGTATTTAGAAATTACAATCATCTCCCAGGAGTCAAATCTCACTATCTTGGCAGTTGCCAGTATAAATTATGGCAAGCTATCCGAGCATCATCTGCTGCACCAGGGTACTTCCAGGAATATGTTCTGGGACATGAGCTTCATCAGGTGTGTTACAATGCTTCCCTTTTTTAAATGATTTGATGCTGTATAGCAGGGGTCCCCAACCTTTTTCATGCCACGGACCAGCTGGAAAGGTGAGGCACCCCTGTGTCCGTGCACTTACAAGCACGCATGCTTGCGCAAGCAGCTGTGCTTGTACGGGTGCTGCTGCGCAAACAGCGGAGTGGCGCTTGTGTGGGCACGTGCATGCGCAAACTGTGGCATGCTGGAGCATGTGCAAATCAGCTGTGTGGGGGTTAGTGCATGTGGGAGGTCTGTCTCTGCGGCCCGGTCCAGCTCAGGCCACAGACCGGGGGTTGGGGACCTCTGCTGTATAGAATCATAAACTAGAAAGAGGGATAAATTGAGAATGGAAATTAATCAAGGTTGTACACAGATACTAAATGGTAAATAATATACAAAATGAATGTGGATTGTTACACATGTTATGATGTTATGGTGTATACCTTAAAGTAGTAGAGGAATATGACATGGGTATGTTTTTCATTGTGTGGTGGTGATTAATTGTGTATATTAAGGAGCAAGGGACTATCACGATTACCTGCAGAGAGTCTGTGTCAGTTCTCTTTACTGCATACAGTTTCAGAATAGTTCAAAGAGCTTTATTTCAAGAATTGCTAATGTTATAATAAAGGTGTTGCAAAACTTGTGAAAGATCATGTTAACCAACCTTAATGACAGGGAATCTGCTGTGAGGATTGTAAGCTGATGCTAATCATCATTCCTGCTCTTTGATACACAGCATTAAATATTCATTGTCTTTAGCTCTTCTTCCTGCCTAATGAACCTGTTTATTAAATATACTGGTTCTTTGATGTGTGACAGCATTAAGAGTCATAGGACTGCTTCAGATGATACTAATTTGCCACAAGTAAAGCACTTCTATGAGGAAAGGACATAAGAGATTTCTGTGTTCCCTTCCATATGAAAACAGAAGAAGCGTATGTTGTATTAGGTTTCCCTTTATTTGTTATGTATATTCCTGTAGAGTTTTATATTGACAAATAACAGCTAGAATAGGGAAAGATGATAAGGCTAGGAGAATGATATAAAAACAAGGACTTGTGCCAACTCATATTGATTTAAATTTTTTAATAAACTAGACTTGTGAGGTTTAGTATCCTGTTCTGTCTACGCAGATTGGACGAGTAATATAATGGAACTTTTGATAGGTTACATATTTGAATCTAAGGGGGTGGTATTCTCTGTTCAGTTGGTAAGGGATATTTATCCTTCCAGCATTGAAGTATGGCTTTTCAAAAGCATAAGATCTGCTTTCACTGACCAGGGCAATGCCCAGAGCACTGGGATGTAATTCAGAAGCACACACACATCCTTGAATTTCAATGATGTCTCTAAGACTCCATTAGTATGCAATATATTCTTCACTCAAAAAGGAAGCTACCATGAGACATGTTAGTGTATGAGCAACAGTGAGTCCAAGCTCATGCCAAAGAGGCAACAGAGTTTATACTTAATGGATCTAAATAAATCCCTTTTGAAAAGCATGAGTATCCCATATGTACAAAATAAATGCTATTGTATTACCTTTATATACTTTATTTCAAGAGTAGGATGTTAAGGTAGCTTATGATTTAACAAAACAGGATACCTAAAACAAAAGGCCTTATAATGAGGCAATAAGGAACAGTTAAAGAAAAAAATAGCAACAATAGTATTTTAAATCATAGTCAGAGCCTTATTAAACTGATTAGCAATGAATAATGATTAATTTAGAAAACACATGGGGTGCAGTTTAGTTCTAATCCTAATCAAACTAGCCATAACGAAATACCTATGATAGTTTGGAATTTGTTAAACAGGCTGACTATCTAGAAGTTCAGAAAGAAGACAAAGTGGCTATGTGTAGTGGACTCTTGTCATAGTTGATAAAGACAAATGGGGCCAGAGAACATTAAGAGAATATGGTTTTCTGTAGCACATGAAGTTTGGTGCAAAAAAAGAGTAACAGATCCTGCTTATCTTTGGGAGAACTTACAGTCATCAAACTGTCACAGCTCAGTCATTCATTAGACAGTACAAAGTGAACTACCACCCACAAAGAGGTTTGCATCACTATCAAGGCTCCTGGAATAGTTCATGGGATATGAAACAAGTAGATAAAAGAAAGAATGCCACACCTTCTTGCATAAGTCCTAGGTGGCAAGCAGGTACAATAGCTCTGTACCAGGCAGATTTGAAATTGGCATTAATATTAGTGATAGCCTTTCTTCATAATATTCTTCATTCCCACTCCACAATATGCAGTGGTCTGATTTCAAGGAGAAAGTTCAGGAATGTTATCTTTCAGGTAAACAGAGTAGTATACCTGTGCTAATTTACTTATTTTGCCCTTGTGCTTGAAACTGTTTTATGGAACAGTGAGATGTGGCCACTTGAGAAGTAATTTTTAAAAAATCAGTCCATTCCCATCCAATCTGTTGTTCTAAACGTTTCCAGTATGGTACATAATACTGGATTTTTGTGCTTAAATCTTTTATTTTTGCAGTTACAGCATTGCCACTGTTTTTTGTTAATACCTTTAAATCTGCCAGCAAGTTGGGAGACTATCTTTATTGAAAATTGTACAGCATTGCCACTGTTTTTTGTTAATACTGTACCTTTAAATCTGCCAGCAAGTTGGGATACTATCTTAGAAAGTTAAACTAGTAAACTAAAATTCTTGCTGATGTGTGTTCATTGTTTTGAAAGGAACCAATATGAGGTTATCAGATTCTGTCAGGAAACAGATTCTGTAAAGTAAATCTAGCGTATTGTCGGTCTAGTTTGCCTTTTTCTCAGCAATGTTTGCATGCCTGACCATGCAGGGATAGAGGTCATTGTGTCCAAATAAGTTTCCCTCTTTGTTGAACAGAATCAACAAATCGGGAATCTTAGCCAATTTCTTCTAAGATGGCATGAAACCATCTAGTTTTGGGGAACACACTCCCAAGTTTGCTTTTATCTCCTATGGGTAGTTCTGTAAAACAAATTAATAATCATTTCACTAAGCTGGCACTGCTTAAGCACCTGCACAGTCTTACCTGGCTTCATTGACTGGCAGAAAAAGAGATGGTGCTATTATTGTACTCCCAAAAACAGTGGTTACATGTGAAAAAACATGGCGGGCAAAATAGAATCCTACTGTACCCCAAAGCTTTGTCATGTGGTCAAACAGAAATCCCCAGTTGGAACTCTTTGTAGCCAATACTGAAGGCAGGAGTGAGATGATGTTAAGTAGGATATATGATGATACCATTTCATGGACCCTTTCCAACAAAGCAACATGGTTATTGGCCTCTGAGGCCTGTGAGAGATTTGGAGAATCAACAGAGTAACACTTCCTTGTTACACCTTTCTTCATTCCCAGTTGAGGAAAGAGAGCTGCCTAAATGACAAGGAAGTTTATTCATGAGGAATATCAATACAACTTTTGTCTTGGCACATGAGAGGATAGACACAGGTAGCAATTTCTGGCCTGGATATATTTATTTATTTATTATTTATTTAAAATATCTTTACCCTGCGTTTTTCCTTAAAAGGATCCAAGGCAGCTTACAACATTAAAGGTCTTTCCCTGCTTGCAAAGGGACAGCAAACATGAGGCCACTCTGGCCTTCTGTGGGAGGGGATTCCAGAGTCTGGGAGCAGCAACAGAGAAGTCCCTGTCCCCGATAAGTGCACCTGCGAGTGTGGTGGGACTGGGAGAAAAGTATCTCCTGATTATCTTAATGCCTAGGCAGGCTCATAAAGTGAGATGTAGTTTTTTAGATACTTGCAAGAGAGCAGGCAGCACTTTCTGATATAATGAGACATCTGCTCTCCGAGTCAGTCCTGCATTGTCAGCTCTTATCTGTCAAGATGGGAACACTTCGAGCTAACATCAATCTGCAGTAACTAAAATTAATTACAAAGGGTCTCATAGATGTTACACTGTATGTTACCTCATAATCATTCTGATATTTGAAGAGAAAAATGCAGCTCTGTGAATACACTGGAACATTGTACAAATGCATCAGGAAGCCTTTTCCATGTTACAAGCCTGCTGTATAGATAGATATGGTTGTGGTGGTTGTGGGTTTTGGGGCTCTTTGGCTCAGTTCTGAAGGTTGTTCTTCCTGACGTTTCTCCAGTCTCTGTGGCCAGCATCTTCAGAGGATAGGAGTAGCATTTTGTGCTCTCAGATATGGTTGTCTTTTTAAAATCATTATGGCAGCTTGCTAGGAAACATTCAGTGGACAATTAGCAATCTTCTCTTCAGAGAAAAGGGCATTTGACCTTGGATCACAGGAAAAATGTTTTTCCTTTTTTACTGGAACTAAAGAATGAGACAAGGAAGATGTAACTCTTACTGAGCCATTCTAAAATATATTCCATGAAGTCTCTTTGTAAAAACTGGGGAGTATTGTTTCCAGTTTATATACAGTTAAATATTTGTTCCCTAGCTGTTAAGTTTACGGATATCTTCATACATAAGGGTTTTTTTTAAAAAATGAACTCCTTGCATTGTTGGTTCTTATGCATCATTTTTACTTCCATCTCTGTCTCAGTTCTGGGAACATTGTCTCATACATAGAGTGAAGTTTAAAATATCTTTAGAATTTAGCAGAACACAAAAGACCTTCCTGTTATAACCTGGTTTTATGTGTTCAAAATTCAGAGAGCTGTGGACAGAGGGTGGGATGCCTCTACTATTTGTGGCATGGAGCTCAGGGTGCTGGATTTCATCTCTTCACCCATATGGAGATGAACAGAACTAAGGCTGGGTATGAATCCTGGAACTTGACAAGAGCGCTTTGTTCTAGGAATGTGTCCCATGCCTTGCTACCATGGTATTAAATTCCAACACTTGGATTCAGCAGGGAACAGAACTATACACTGAGGGCAGCTGCAACATTTGGTTGGGATAGTCAGCTGCCACCCCAGACATAGTATCAGTACCTCTAAGACACCATTCCTCTTCTTGGGTTTGCATTATGGTCCAG